TTTCATTTTTTTTCAGTTCTGTCATCCACCTTTCAGCAATAATGATAATAATAATAATAATTACAAAAGAAATAATAATAAAAAACCCAAGTAAGGCCAGATTCTCTCTCTTTATATATAAATATATATATATAAACAATGGGAAGGGGAAAGGGGAGCACACAGAAGACACCAATGATGCATCTGAAACAACAAATGAGAGTGAAGCAGACATTTATAAAAAAGATGAAAAGGAAAATATTTTGAACATGCACCTCGATTTTACGGCCCTCTACCACGGTGCCGTGTAATTTCTCCCTCGCCCTGTCCGCATCAGCACTATTTTCGAAAGTTACGAAACCAAATCCCTGCATGCAGGAGGGAGAAGGGGGGAAAACAACATGCACATTATTATTTCAGTCAATGACCACTTGTTTGCTTATGTTCTCTCTCTTTAATTTAATATTTTCTTGTCCTTGCTTCATTTCTGTAACATGCAAATTAGAAAAATTATAATTGTATTGAGATGTGCAATAAATAAGCGACAAATGTGAACAAATTTTTTCTGTCATCAGTTAGATAATACCCTCTGAGAAATTCAAAGAATGATACCAAAAATACCTTTCTACATGTCACTACACAGGAAAATAAATCTAACAATAAGAAAATGAAATTAAAATAAATTACAGTGTCTTCACATAGAAAAAAATGAACTAATGAGAAAAGAAAATGAACCACATTTTAATGACATGCAGATCTCTCAACGAAATAAAAAACATGTGCACAAAATTCAACAGTGAATGTCAATATACTCTAAAACATTGCCTACTTAATCATGCTGTTGTGATCATAAGAAACATTATTCCCATGCAACACTAGGGTAACTTAAACTTTTGTCAAACTATACAGCCTTTACTTATTTTTTTATAAAAGAAAAAAAGAAAAGAAAACCAGCAACAAAACAAAAGTACTTTTAGAACAAAGTATAAACTTTCTTGTATTAACAGATCAAATAAAATCACATGATGTGAATAGAAAAAGAAACTCTGAAAAAGGAATAAAAATGCAAACGTTTTGAATAAGTTTAACTGGTTCATTTACTATTTATGTATATCATTTTCCACATACAGAACATGCAACTGGTAAAACTCCAGAATCCCGTGTTAGTGGGATGGGAGAATACTTGACAAATACGAAATTCTGCCTATGACAAGTGCTTTGCTTTATAATATTAGGCTAAACAAACATTTCCAGTCCTACTAAAATTATTTTTATAATTTTATAATGTGCTAAGTTAAATTAAACACTGTTTACAATAGCAAATATTTTTGAAAAAATCAGACATCGGAAAACATTTTAGAAACATACACCAACCCTTTGAAGTAATTCTTACGTTAGCACTACAATGCCTTTGCATGCTTTCCCAAAGTTATCCGAACAAATAAGCTTCTATATCCTTGGTGTTTCATAACAAGAACATTTGCAAGTTACACATGGCCGCTTTACAAAGAATAGGCATTGCTGCACATATCTGAAGTCCTACTACAACCTGTTTCTTTACTGTTACTTTAGCTTGAACTATGGAGTTAAAGCTTTCCTCTGTTCTGTTCCTCAGCAGTAAGCCATGCATCATGTCTCCTCATTCTCCAGTCTATTCACTAAGTTTTGTGGTCAGTATTCACCCACTTACTCTCTCCAAGTTCTACCTATTATGCACATAGTGACTGATTAAAAAAACTAAAAGAAAGAAAAAAAAAAGAAAAAAGGAAAAAAAAGAAAAAAAAAGGAAAAAAAAGAAAAAAAAAGGAAAAAAAAGAAAAAAAAAGGAAAAAAAAGAAAAAAAAAGGAAGTGAAGATATTTATACAATTGATTATATATTTTATACAAAAAGAGACCAAATATGAAACTAAGGCAAAACTGACAGCAAGCATTGAGAAAAACAATGGATATGGACCACAAAATTAATTAATCGACAAAAAGAGTTAAGAAACTATCAGGATCATTATGGGGGTTATTTGGGTTATTTTACCTACTCAAAGAACACATTTATTTACACCAGTTTATAACATAGAAAGTGACATTTATATACAGTAGCAGTTTATGTTCCATTCTTTTCAAAGTAGCTTAAACACATTGTCTGTTGCTCTTTTTTTTGTGTCTCTTTTAAAGGCACACCGAAGCCTGAGCTTGGAAGTGCTCTATCAGCAGTTCCACTTCTAGCTGAAGCCATTCTCTGAACACCTGATTCCACACATTTTCTCCACTCTACCCTCCACAATTTTAGCACAAAGCCACGACCTCGCTTGTCACAAGACACTGAGGATGTAACTCTTTTCCCCAAAGCACCAGGAGTGTGTGAGAGAAAGTAAATCCCCCTCCTCAGTACTAATCCCCATGTTTTAGATGCCTGCATAGGCTTTTCTTATACCTAAACCCATCCTCAACTTTCAACTTTTATTTCTTCTTCAGCTGCTCCCTCCCATCTTGTAAAAGTTCTGTAAAAAAAAGCTCATAATTTAAGATGCCATTAAGAAAATTTCACAGCAGAAAACACCATTGAAACCATCGATCCAAGGAGCCTAGCTCCACGCAATAGCAAAAATGAGCCCAATTCTATTTGTTCTCCCTTCTCCTCCTTGCTGAACAACTGCCCCTTCTCAGAATTGCAAACATGTGGTGGGAGTTGTTTAGTCAAAATTTTGAATCAGTCTTCCTAGCTCACAGCACTACCAGTTAATTTTTTTCAAACAATTGAAGGGAAAGATAAAAACCTAATTATATTAAAAAATTAGAAAAAGATATGAAGTGGAGCCACAAGCCAAGATAAGACAGGAACTTCAAAGATTCTGAAAAGAATACTCACTGTAATTTTTTAATTTCTTACGTTGTATGTATTGTCATAATTAACACTATTTAAATTCAGCTCTTATTATTTATGCAAATCTTTAATTTTACCTAGCTGACACAGAAGCTCAATCACAGAACATAGATTCATTCATCACACATTCAAATATCTACACAAACACGTTAACATTAATTTTATATGCAGCTGATTGAACAGCTACTTTAGTTTAGCATACTATGTATTTTATTAACTAGTAATGTAGATTTCTGCATGTTATTTTTAAAGTCTGTCAAATGATTTAATAATAGCCAAGTTAGTACATGAGAAGGTTATGTTTTAATTTGGGAGGTGCTTTGGAGCTCTTCTTCTTTGAAGAAATGTATGTTCACATAATACATACTAGATATATATTAATACATATACTCACAAAGTATATATGTAGCTGTATAGAGCATTAATTTACAACTGTAAAAAAATAGCACTTGATGTTCCTTTATCTTTGCAGCCTTGCAACTGTGCCCGAGACAAAAGCCATTTGCAGCTCCATGGAGTGCTTCAGTGTTAAAACAGCAGAGCAGCGTTAAAATACACACAGTAATGGAAGCTATATTTCAAATTGTCCTTCCAAGGTGAGTGGTAAATGCAAAGAAAGGTGAGTTACTAGCAGTTTTTAATGTTACTTTAATCAACAGCTTCAAGAATTGGAAATTAAAATTGGCAAATAAAGCCTCATTTATTTAACACAGGTTGTAAGAAAGATCTACAGCAAAACAATTCTGAAATTCTTGCAATTCCTATAAAAAAAAAAGTTTCAAATGTCATCAGTGTTGCCATATGATTCTAGCAAAGTTAACTTAATATTATGCCCACAAACAAACAGAAATTTGTAGTATGAAACTTGTATTATTTTAGGGTTTCTTTTATGGAGACACTCCCTTCTGCAGAATTACTTTATACTTTATGGTGGTGCTGCAGCATTATGTTTTTTGAATC